TAGTTAATTTCACCAATGTTTTGGGCAGAGGCTCCAATAGTTCACAGTGCTTTAGGAAATCAAACCTGTAATGCACAGTTGGTAAGGTAATAAAAAAAAAAATTAAAAAAAAAAAATACACAAAAAGAGGAATAGTGCTTCAAAACAGCTCGATGAGATGTTCGAAACCCACTGAGTCACTTGCGGTCTTGCCTGCTCTGGGGGAAGGTTGGCAAAGGAGGGGAAATAAACAGACACCTTTGCAAGGGAATGGCGGTTCAGGTGCCAAATGTTATCCTCTGCTAAACAACTGGAGCAAACCTCGGATCTGACATGGTTACCGGAGTTCTGTTCCAGTACGTCGTTTTGCACAGCGTGTTGGTGCTGGGGCTCCAGCCTGAGGGCCTGACTTGGGTAGCGACGTTTGAGAAAGAGAAATAAGAAATAATTCATTTTAAAATGAGCAATTCAAAAGGTATGGCAAAAGAATGGTGAAAATGGCAGGTTCCAGACAACCCGTCACGACATTTGAAGTGCAGATCAGTGGTTCCCCACCAGATGTGTCCTTCCTGCTCGGGACACAGCCGGATACTCCGACTGTCCACCATCTGCGAGGGCTCAGACAGAGGGATCGTCAGCGGGAACCTCGTTGCATCCCCGTTCCTCATTAGCCAAGTGACAAGAGGGTGTGCTGGGGGTTGTGTTTTAGGCTAGACTCATGGAACGGTTTGAGTTGGAAGGGACTGTTATGGTTTGAGAAACCCACAATTTGTTGTCATTTAGATAATTATTCTCTCACTTGATGACCCCTCCCCACACAGGAAAGGGAATCGGAAAAAAACAAGGAAAAACTGAAGGCTGAAATATAAACAGAATAAGACTAGATAATTAATAACACTAAAGAACCAATATTGATCCCGGTACCGGTATAAAACACACAAGGACTATCCTCAGCCCAGTCTATCCGCAGAAGCCGTGCGCTCCCAGCAGTGACAGCCAATGTGGGACACTGCGAGTGCTGCGGCTTCGGGGGGGAGGGAA